ACTACAGTGAGAGCTATGATTTCCCTGTTCCTGTGCTGAGCAGCTGCTATACTGCACACTGATCACAGGGAGTTACTTGCTTGGCACTTTCACCATTCATAAAACACCTTTTATTTACAAAGTACTCCCTGATTGGATGAAGGGAGAGAAAAGGCAGTAACCTCACAATCTACACCTCACTCAATCAGTGAATCCATTGTATTAAAGCTCAACTCGATGGTAAAAATCAAAATTCAATAGTTTATTATGCATTACTTACCTTATTTTTGTTGTTCCTCCCAAACACATCTTTGTAGACCGTATTGTGGTGTCTCCACTGAAAGTCTTGGTTTCTTCCATGGGGAATAGTGAGTTCCTGCTCTAGTGTTTGACCCCTGTGCGAATAATGTATCCCTTTGAGGACCAGTCCTGTCACGGCCCTGTGTATGTCTTCTGAAGTTAATCAGTTTGAGAGGTCCCCAACGCTGAATGCTTTTCCACCTCCAAAAGGAAGTGTCCACATCAAGCAGGCAGTGACATGGACACTTGGAAGGATCTGCTGAAGGATGGAAGGATCATGGGATTGGCTTAAAGTAAGTGAAATGGGCAGTTAGACTTTTCTTTTAATTCAAGCAATCAGTAAGGGAAGGGTGGGTGGGGGCAATATACTTTGGAGTTGGGCTTTAATTTTGAAAAATACAACACATTCTGTGAATGATAGCAGTACAGAGCAAGTTATTCCATGAAGTCAGTGTATAGTGAGCCAGCTGCTTAGGACAGGACCTGGAAATTCATAGAAGTCACTGTAGCACCACTGTCAGTTTCCTCACTAGTCCCTCAGGTATGAAATGTGCATACTTCATTGGTCCCAGCTGATCAATGTAACCATACAATTAAGATCATACCTAGAGTTCAGCTTTAGCCACTTCAATACAGGACCAGCTTTGATCGCTGTCACACTTTGAATGACAATTGCACAGTCATGCAACACTATACCCATATGAAATTTTTATATTTATTTTCACACAAATAGAGTTTTCTTGTTGTGGTATTTAATCACTGCTGATTTTTTTTGCTAAATAAATGAACAAAATCCAAAAAAAGCATTTTTTACATATAACATTTTGCAACAAAAAAAAAATCTGTTTTCATACATTTAGGTCAAAATTTCTTTGGTGAAAATAACAAAAATCAGTGTATGTTATTTAGTCTCTAGGAAAGTTATAGAGCCCACAAACAATGGTATATACACTGCTCAAAAAGTGGAACACTTTTGGGTCAGTGTCACTACTGGTAGCATGAGGCGATACCTGGACCCTACAGAGGTTGCACAGGCAGTCTGACTCCTCCAGGTTGGCACATCAATACACATTGCCATAAGGTATGCTGTGTCTCCCAGCACAGTCTCAAGACCATGGTGGAGATTCCAGGAGACAGGAAGTTACTCTAGGAGAGCTGGACAGGGCTGTAGAAGGTCATTAACGCAGGAGCAGGACCGGTATCTGCTCCTTTGTGCAAGGAGGAACAGGATGAGCGCTGCCAGAGCCATACAAAATGACCTCCAGCAGGCCACTGGTGTGAATTTCTCTGACCAAACAGACTTCATGAGGGTGGCCTGAGGGCCCAAAGTCCTCTAGTGGGCCCTGTGCTCACTGCTCGGCACCATAGAGCTTGATTGGCATTTGCCCTTGAACACCAGAATAGGCAGGTCCGTCACTGGCACCCTGTGCTTTTCACAGATGAGAGCAGCTTCACCCTGAGCACATGTGACAGACGTGAAAGGGTCTGGAGAAACCATGGAGAATGCTATGCTGCCTGTAACATTGTTCAGCATGGCTGTGTTGGTGATGGGTCAGTGATGGTCTGGGGAGGCATATCCATGGAGGGACACACAGACCTCTACAGGATAGACAATGGCACCCTGACTGCCATTAGGTATTGGAATGAAATCCTTGGACCCATTGTCAGACCCTACGCTGGTGCAGTGAATCCTGGGTTCTTCTTGGTGCAAGACAATGCCTGGCCTCGTGGCTAGAGTATGCATGCAGTTGTTGGAGGATGAAGGAATTGATACCATTGAATGGCCCCCACAGTTGCCTAAATCCAATAGGACACCTCTGGGATATCATGTTTTGATCCACCCAACACTGCCAGGTTGCACCTCAGACTGTCCAGGAGCTCAGTGATACCCTGGTCCAGATCTGGGAGCAAATGTCCTAGAACACCTAGGACACCATCGGTCTCATTAAGAGCATGCCCCGACATTGTAGGGCATGCATAAAAGCACGTGGGGGCTATACAAACTACTGAGTACTATTTTGAGTTGCTGCAATGAAATTTCAGCAAAATGGACTAGCCTGCTGCATCAATTTTTCACTTTGATTTTTGGGGTGTCTTTGAATTCAGTCCTCTGTAGGTTGATAATTTTCATTTCCATCAAATGATGGGAAATCCTTATGTTCCTAACATTCCAGTCCATATCACTATAGATATCCAACATGATATATTTCCCCATTAAGATCTGATGTGTTTTCAAAGTGTTCCTTTAATTATTTTGAGCAGTGTATATGAAATTCGATCAGTCCTGATATACTGACAATGTACTTGAGGCCTGAAAATGCCAGGGCAGTACAAATATCCTCCAAATTATCCATTTTTGGAAAGCAGACAGTCCAATGTATTTAGTAAGAGGCATAGCAAATTTTTTTAAGTTGTATTTTTTTTTTCACAATTTTTTTGGAAAATTAAGAAATTAAAAAAAATGTTTTTACATAGTCACCAGTGCAGTACAGTGTCATCATATAACTGGAGTGGTGGTGATGAGGGACACTGACTGGTGACAAAAAAAAATTCATCATTTTTTTAAATGTTTAAAATATTTTTTTAATTTTTATTACATTTTTATTCTTTTTTTACATTTTTTTTTATCGTACAATGAGCAGACCAACACAGTGTTACTGTATTACTGTCACACTGTACTACTCTGGGAAGTGATCAGGATTTTTTTTTGACACACTATGATTGCTTATAACAATGAATTTTATTGCTATAAGCAACCATTTTTCCTGAATGAATGCTATTCATGACAGCTGATTATGGGATTGGACTGGAGGGACTTTAGAATAGGTAAGTATACAGATCTTTCTTCACAGAGATCATCACAACAGTACACAATGAATGGCATGAATCAAAGCCATTCATTGTTGTTGTTTTTTTAATTCTACTTTTATTAGTTTTATATTTATAAAACTATCTTTATTTCAAACATTAAATAACACAAACTGTCATGCAAAATATTACCCTTTTTCCCTTCTCCCTCCCCTTAGAATGGGGGTGGGAGTAGGTATAATCTTAGTTAGCTTTTCACTGTACTTTCACTTTAAGCCGAAAGTGGTTTTCATTTAAAATTTGTGAATAGTCGTTCTAGTGGCTGTCTACATTTAGACGCTGTAATTAGCTTTCCATCGGAATGACTGTTGACATAAAAATCTATGACAAGATAGGCTTCCTAGACATTATATTATTGCAATCAGTATGTGCAGACTGATAGACAGACAGGAGAACACTAAAGAATAATGACCATGCAGGGCTACTTGCCTAAAACTACAGCTCCTTTTTTTTTTTAACCCTTGCAGTATTTCTGCCCTTCTGTGAGTCTGCTTTATAGTAAAAATGCACCACCCAGTCATGGTTGAAGGATGTCCAGTGCCACCCAACCTCTTCCTCTGAGCCCTGGCAGTCACAGGCACACTCCCTGGTCCTTAGGGTGTCCACGCTGCCTGGACTCTCTGTGGAAACTCCTGATATGGTTGGCACAAATTATTAAAAATTACAGATAAGTGCAATGAGGTATTCAGAGAGGATGAGGGAAAAAGGCTTTGTAGCCTGGGATTTAAACAGCCTATATTGTATATACACCAGCAAATATGACTCACTGTGCATGTGTATAAATATTAGGACAAAAGCAAGGATTCTATATTTAATATACACTAATTAGATTACTTGAATTAAACTGATAGCATCCACACACAAACAAAAAGACATATCCATCTCCACAAGGGTACAAGAGCATAATTATAAGATTCTTTTCTTAAGGTAATGCACAAGGTGGATCCTTCTATGCCAGAGACATGTTGGAAATGCCTCAGGGCACCTATAATGATTCCTTTCTGGGATAAATTCTGCAAGTATGTCATAAGCTACAGGTAACGTGGTTCCCAACCAGGGGCAGACTGACAACTTATGGGGCCCCCGGGCAATAGGGGATCATGGGGCCCCTGTGTCCTTGTCCAAACTAAAAAAAGCCTATGAAAAAAGGTACCAGGGGCATCTCATGGGGCCCCCTACTGACCCCGGGCCCTTGGGCAGTGCCCGAGTTTCCAAATGGTCAGTCCGCCCCTGTTCCCAACAACATACCCCAAATTACCCTCCTCTCTACGATCTAACAAGGGGCTGCTTCAGCACATCCTGGTTTCTGCCTGCACTGTTATATCTAGACATGAATGTTGGGAGTGTGAAATAGACTCCATATATTAAAATCAGCTGATGCTCCCCATGGACGAGAAACAATACAAAAACCTTTAGGAGCACATGGTCTATATGGGTTAGTTTTAGGCAATTCACCTCATATTTAGGCTTTGTGTGCAACACCCTGCTATGTGCTCCATCTCCTCCCTCTTTTCTTTTGTTCCCTTCCACCTTCTTCCTGCAGACCCTTCTTAACCACTTCCCTACCGGGCACTTACATACCCCCTTCCTGCCCAGGCCAATTTTCAGCTTTCAGTGCTGTCACACTTTAAATGACAATTGTGCGGTCATGCAACACTGTACCCATATGACATTTTTATAATTTTTTTAGACAGAGCTTTCATTTGGTGGTATTTAATCACCTCTGGGTTTTTATTTTTTTTGCTAAACAAACCAAAAACAACTGAAAATTTTGAAAAAAAAACATGTTTTTTCTTAGTTTCTGTTATAAAATTTTGTAAATAAGTGATTTTTCTCCTTCACTGATGTGCACTAATGAGGCTGCAGTGATGGGCACTGATAGGCGGCACTGATGGGCACTTATGAGGAGGCACTGGTAGGTGGCACTGATGGGCATTGACAGACATCACCGATGGGCACTGAAAGGCAGCAGTCATATATGGCACTGATAGGTGGCACTGATAAGCAGCACTGACTGTTACTGTTAGGTGGCACTGAGGTGGCACTGTGGCAGGGCGGCACTGATAGGCAGCACTGACAGCACTGATTGGCAGCACTGATGCACACTGATAGGTGTGGCACTGACTTGCACTGATCGGTGGCACTGACTGGCAATGATAGGTGGCACTGAAAGGCAGCTCAGATGGGCACTGGTAGGCACTGATATGTGGCATTGATGTGGCAGTGCCCTGATGATCAGTGTACATGTCCCCTCTGAGGAATGCCGATTACCAGCTCTCGTGAGGAGAGAAATGCCGATAACCGGCATTCCCTTATTTTCATGTGATCAGCTGTGATTTGACACAGCTGATCACATGACAGAGTCAATGTCTTCGGCTCTTCCGTTGATCCACCATTCGTTTGTACTGCACGCCCCCAGATCCGCGCACACGCGGTTAGAGTGGGCGGACGTCATACAACGTCCTCCCAGAACAAGTGAACCGCCTTGCGCCTGTCATTTCCTTATATGGTGGGTGGGAAGCGGTTAAAGAGAAATTAAATGAAGAGGCAGAGACCTTGGAGAGCCTCTGCTCTTGTGCACATCGCTGGATCAAGATGGGGCTCAAGTAAGTATTAGGGGGGCTACTGCACACAGAATATTTTTTACCTTCATGCATAGAATGCATGAAAGTAAAAAAAAACTTTGAACCTTTTCAACCACTTTAATTTTCCCATCCCCTCTCCCCCCTCTACTTACCTTACTCCTCTTTCTATACCTCTGTCTTTCTATCATTTCCCACTTGACCCATCAAGCCTCACTTTTTCCAGTTACTCTATACCCACTCCTTCCTCCATCCCCTTTTACCAAGCTTGGACTTTGTCTACTGATTCCACACCTTAGTGGGATTGTGTTGTTTTTTTTTGTTTGCACCTATTGGTTCTACACTTTGTTCTATAAAGATTAACTCCAAACTCCAAACTTACATGTGGCACAATACAAAAAACAGAATAGCCTGATAGATGTCTACATTTTAAACCTGAAATTAAAGGATAAGGACCGCACTCGGTGTTCAGCCTTGGTAACTGATTGCTGCATGTAGTGACTGTAGTGGATGGCGCTGTGTAAATGGCACTAAAACAATGACATGTCACCAGTACTCCATTGCAAATATATACTCTCATTCATTAGTGCAATGTCACATTAGTCAAATAAGGCAGCATTTTGGGGCCATGCAGGGTCCCTTCCTCAAGGCAACATAGTGACTATGTCGTCTTGAGAAAAGGGACCCTGTGTGGACCTGAAACATTGGCTTATTTGACTAATGTGACATTGCACTAATAAATAAGTGTATCTATATCCTTAAACTTAATAAAAATATGGATTAATATAATACAAAGGCTTTTTTTTTATGTGGGAGAGGCAGGCAGGTTTAGATACTCACAGTAACATCCATCCTCATATATTGTTTAGTTGAGTGAAACACTTATAATTGCTCTTAATAATACTTGAATATTGCTCATTTTACTTGATGTGACAAAATCTTGATAGCTGTGTGGCAGGAATGGCCATGCTTTCATTCTGACCTTTACAGAAATTTGCACATATATCCTTTGTAATTACACATGAACAGGCAAGCCATTTACAGTGCCCAGATGTATTATACTGGATGGTAAATCAGTTTACTTAGAATAAATTAGAAGACAGAAAATTTGGCTTTCAATAAAAACTCCTACAAAGCAATAAAGGACAGTAATTAATTGTTTTAAATGATTGGTTGTACCATTCACATCTACACTAGACCTGATTTCATAAAAGGAAAACAGCATTATTTCAGTGGTATCCATATTGTCTCAAACTTCAGAGCCTTGCTTTCCCGTCTGAGCGCTGCTCTACAGGAAATTTCCAAGACGAAATCAAATACTCACACATTAGTATCATTTACAACTAAATTTGAGCAATTTAGGCATGGACACATGAATGGTTTATATTTCCATATTGGGTTTCCTTGTAAAATTCTTTAATATTATTAGTGCGTGCCATTTTTTATATTTTATACATATTACTTCTAAAAAACAGGTATTAATTGATATCTTTTCTACAATTCATAGATTTAGTATCAAGAAAAAAGAAATTGCAGTTATATTTTGGTCATGCTGATCAATAATTAGCAGTAATTATTTTGTACTCTGAAGGAGAGAAAAATAAGGCCATTTAAAGCCTCAGATGTGGCATATGAAATTGCAGGTGCCTGGACTGTTCATAACAAGAAATTAACTTATTGGATTTGTATTACAGACATAAAAGGCAGAACAAGCTATCCTTGAAGCTACTACCTCTCTACAGCTTAGATCAATAACTACAGGAACATAGCTTTCATGAATTAGGCAGATGGTTACTAATTGGATTTCTTACTTGTTTCATTTATATTGACAAGCCCCTTTTAAACATATTTAATATATATATATATATATATATATATATTTTATTTATTATTAAAAACAATATTGGTGTTACTATTAAAATAATAATAATAAAAATACATTAAAATTAAGTAATAAAATAATATTATTATATTATTAAAAATAATAGCATAATGTTATTTATTATTAAAAATAATACATTTATATTATTGCTCAGTGGTGGACATAGTTACCAAGGGTCTCCTCTGCAAGACTAATTTTTGGCAACCAGTAAACCTCTGACAAAGTAAAAACACTTATTGTCTGTGTGTCAATTGAGAGCTAGATAAAAGCAAGAAGTAGCCAAGCGTGTGATAGTGGGAGGGGGTCCCAGTACTCGTGATTTTCTTCTCATTGTATTTTTCATATTTAGTGTTTTGACTGATGTTTTCCTTACTACGGTTAGCAAATTGCTTTTTTTTCTAATAATTCTCTGATGCAGATTTTGCATGATAAAAAGGAGATAGTGAATATTTTTCTTATCCTCACAACATCTGGTCTATGTAACACTGAGCAGTAAAATCTAGCAATATTCATATTTTTTTAAATTAAATACAAAACAGAAATTTGTACAAGACAAAAACCATTTGTGGCATCTTCTCCGACAATATAATTTTTCCTGAGCATGGATTAAGAATAAGAATAAACTCATATATGCCAGCTCTTAGCTCGGAGAACTAGCTCTACTTCAGCTATCTTATATTCTAAATAAGTGATCACAGCTCAACTGGACTTGAAACAATGGGTCATAGACTCTCCATGATGACTGCTTACTACAGCTGTATTTAACATAGCTGCAGGCACCTTGCAGGATAAATGTTTGACCAAGCATAGACAGCTTGTACTATTTTTGCTGCCCATCAAGTATCACCTAGAATGGGTTCATAAATGTCCTTTCTGGTCATCTTAAAGGCCAATGACTGCTTGCTTCAAGTGCAGATGCATTCCACTAAACTACTGTAGCATGAACCCCAGCTCAGCCAAATGAAGTGTACAGGACTAAATGTGAATGTGCTCTAAGTATTTCTTACGAAACTGGGTTTATAAGGCAAGCAAAGTACATAATGCAGTAATACATATGCAGCATTAATGAATCTTTACCTGTCTGTTCATCTGTGAAGAATAAATTCTGCATTGTAAAGTTGCGTTCTTATAGCATCAAGTAAATCTCTGTCAGCTTTTTTGTAATATAAAACAAGTTAGTAATTACACAGCCTAAAGTCGAACTGGAAACCGGCAAACCAGCAAATTAATTTTGGAGCACTAACTATAATATATAGTGTGTATGTACAGTGCATTCAGAAAGTATTCAGACCCCCTTCACTTTTTCAGTTTTGTTATGTTGCAACCTAATACTACAGTTGTTTAAGTTCATTTTTTTTCTCGTTAATATACACTCATATCCCCATAATGACAAACTGAAAACAGATTTATAGAAATGTCTGTGAATTTATTAAAATAAAAAACCTAAATATCACATGGGACAAAGTATTCATACCCTTTGCAACAATGCTTGGGATTGTAGCTCAAGTGCCTCAAATTTCTCTTGATCATTGCTGGGATGTTTCTACACCTTGATTGTAGTCTACCTGTGGTAAATCAATTGATTGGACATGATTGGGAAAGGCACACACCTCTCTATAAAAGGCCTCACAGCTGGCAATGTATACTGTATCAAAACAAAGGCCATGAGGTCAAAAGGAACTGCCTGCGGAGCTCAGAGTATTATTGTAAGGCATAGATATGGGGAAGGCTACAAAAAAAATGTCTTCATCATTGAAGAGTCCCAAGATCACAGTGGCCTCCATAATTCTCAAATGGAAGAAGTTTGGCACAACCAGGACTCTTCCAAAAATTGAGCAATTGGGGGAGAAGGGTCTTAGTAAGAGAGGTGACCAAGAACCAGAGGTCATTCAGCTGTTCTGGTGGAGACAGAACAAAGTTACAGAAGGACAACCATCACTGCAGCCCTCCACTGATATGGGCTTTATGGCAGAGTGCAAAACACATGAAAGCCTGCTTGGAATCTGCTATCCTTGAAGTTATGCACAATTGATAATTCAAGTACTGAATGTAATTTTACTAGGGATTATATTCCCTGTCCTGTTATTTTTTAACAATGTTGTACATAAAATATTGTAATTGTAATAATCGTGTCTTCCCTAGTACCAGTAAAGACCTCTTGGTACTTTTTTGGAGTGGTTAGATGTTTGCTATGGCATGTGGTACAGATTTGGCAGATTTTTTTTGTAAAAAAAAAAAAAATATATACTGTACATATACATGGGTGTGATCTGAGCAGGTGGGAGGAATAGGGTTCATAGAATAGGGTTCTCTCAATTTTGCCTGAAGATGAGCTTTAACTTAAAGTGTTACTAAAGCCACAACAATAAAATCAGTCTGTATATGCAATAAAGCACGCTTGTTATATTCACTGTGGGACCTAAGGGGTTAATCCTCTGCATTGTGTAAAAAGGCTGTTTGATCTCTTCTTCTCTGCCCCTCCTCTTGTTCAAATGCCCACGCTGGTAAGACAGACTGAACTGTGCCCTTCTGCACATGCTCAGTTTAGTGTGTATTGCTAGAGAGTTTTTTTTTCTTGGAAGAGTGCATGTGATCAGCACAGGGCCAATCAACACTGTCCAGACAGAGGTCAGGGAACTTCCATCCTCCTAGAGAAAATTCCTCCTACAAGCTTTAACCAGTGCTTAGTTGAAGACACATGACTGCTCTAACTGCTGATGAGAAAAGGTATTTAGCAGTTTATATT